AATTCTATATAATTAGAACATTGAAATTTCTATATAATTAGAACAAGTAATTAATATATTTAAATTTTTTAAATTAAATACTTACTTATATATTTAAAATTTAAAATTATTTTTATTCATGATTTTTTTTTTCATATAATTTTCTTGAATATTAAAGAAAATTTTAATAAAATTTAATATTCAAAAACAATTATGTATATCGAATGTGAACATTGACTATTCATATATATATACATACTCATGTATATAATTTAGTATGCATATGTGAATATTAGGGTGGGCCGATTGTGTGTCCAAAAAAAAAAAATAAAAATTAATTTGTGATAGTGAAATTATGTTGATTTAAACTTCATTGAAAAAAAAACGTGCTGAATATACAACCGATTAAACTTGGTGATTTAAGAAGTAAGAAGTGTATTTAAAAACTGACACTATTTTAGAACTTTAGTTTAATTCTATTAAAATTATTAATTGTTATCTTATACCTTTAGGGAGAGATATTATAAATTAGAAGAAATTTTACTAGCATGATATAGTAAAATTAATTAAGTAAAGCTAGGTAAAATAGTTAAGAATTTAAGTAACTTTTTTAATTTCGACAAAAAATAATTTGTAATGGTAGGTTATACAAAATCTTCAAGAAATGGTGACGGCAGATATGTTAAAACTACGATCTAAAAGTTAATTTTCTTTATAAGAGCTCTTAGCTGGTGAGAATTTACTTTCTTCACTCGAATTTTTGTAAATGAATCATAGGCCAGCTAAATAATCGAAAAAAATTATATGATTTGACTCTACTGTTTAAAATTTTCAAATTGTGATTTACGTCCCTTGTACAGAAAATAAATAAGTAAACAATATTTTACAGGATTGTAATTAAGCAAAAAACATTTCACTATTACAAATATATGCAAAAAAAAATTGATCCACCTTAATGAATTTGTTAAAAATAACAACTAGGTATATAAAATAACAACAATTAAAAAAAAAAAATTTTTATTTTTGTTTTCTTTTCTTATTAATTTTCTTATTTTAAATACTTACATATTAGGGTGCCAGTACATAATAATAATGCAATTATAAAATCAGTTGATGGTGTTAATACTCCGGATGCTAATAATTCCAATTCACAATGAATACCAGTAAAACCCATTGGGCATAAACATTCATATTTTCTTGGTGGATTGTAATCACGACATCTGCCACCATTTTGACATGGGAATAATAAGCATTCATTATCATTAACACATTGTGAACCAGACATTTTGTAACCGGCCGGACATCTGTTTATTTTTATTTTATTTATCAACAATTTTTTTTTTTTGGTTTTTGTTATTGTTGTATAATAATATATATATATATATACATTAATTGTATATACAATATGTATATATTTTATATATACAGAAATTTTTATGTTTTTTAACATAAATTTATACATTTTTTTTTATATTTTTAAATCCAACATGAAAGTAAAAAGAAACAAAAAATACAAATAAGAATAAAAGAGAACCAATATTTTTAATTGAATTAAAAAAATAATATATAATATTATTAAAAAAAAAAATATTTAAAAAATTTAATTAAAAAAATTTTAAACTTAAATTTATTACAAAAATTTTAACTTGAAACTTAAAATCAATAATAATAATTACAAAAAAACGAAATTTTTTACCTATTATAATTATGACAGAGAGAGAGAGAGAGAGAGAGGTTGGTGTTAATTATTTTATATTATTCTCTTATTATTTATATATAATTAAATTTTTCTGTTTTTTCATATATTCTTAAATTGAAATCAATTAAAAATATTGGAAATGAGAAACTAACTACGATTTAAAATCAAACAGCTAAATATGTAAAACACAAGATTTTGAAATATTTAATTTACAAGTTACTAAATGTGCCGCAATTCAACTTAATTTTTATAATATTCCATTAGAATTATAATGAAAATATTAAAATAAACCTAATTATTTACAAATAATAAAATAATAATTACACCTCCTCATATTATATTCTTTTTAAATATTTTTGTCTTGAGCATCCAATTAAAAGAAAATTGTACAGATTTTGACAGAGAGAAACAAATACATTGAACTAAATAAAGTAGTCAATAATATTTTTTGTTATTTCTTAAAACATTTTATATACATACATAATAATTAAGAAGGACAAAATCTAATATTTCATAGTATTTATGCTATAATACCTTATATTACAACAATTATATAGTAATATAAAGTATTCCAGCATTATTAGAAACTTCTGGCAACTCTAATACATTTAAAAGAGTGAGCAAGAGCTTATAATCTTATAATTTATACATACCTTTATTAAATTTTTTCTTTGCTTTTTTTTGTTATAATTATATATAATTGTAATGTAATACTCTTATTATTAATTTATAAATTGATTATAATTTTATTATTGTTAATTATATTGTTGTTTGTATTTAATTATCGCAAGTGAGTACTAAAAATAATTAATGTATTATTTGAGGGAAAAGAGCGAAAAGAAGTTTTAAATAAAAAATTTCAAATAATTTTTTATTATTTTGCTGCTACTTAAATTGAAACGGATATAACATAGACAAAACGTTCCAAACGTCTTATGAAGATGGAAGAAATGTAGATGGAAGAAAAATTAGAATTAAATATTTCGTGAATTTTCTGTTCATTTCACTGAATTTAAATGTGATTTTTGTTTGGTGTACAAAACCCTCTGATATAAGAAAATATTCTCGAAGAATATTTAACATTTTGTGTAAAGATTTCTCTTTTAGTATTGTTATGTTTTTGTCATTTACGCTATTTAGAAATATTAATAAATCATTAACGTGGAACTCAATTTTTATCCTGCTAAAGGATTTAGAATTTTATTTGTTTAAAACCGATAATTTTTCCTTACTATACAATTGAATTCACATACGTGGTATACTGAATGCATTGGATACAATATTATTTTCATTAATTTATAAACCTATGTAATTATATCATTGAAATTTATTGAAAAATATTAATTAAAAACAACATTCTAAATATGAAATTATTCTTTAAAAATTTTCAATTTTTGCATAATTCAAGGGACATAATAATTAAATATAATAATAATTATAATAATTATTATAAAAAACAAAAAAAAAATTACTAAATTTAATTATGTGTTCCTATATGCTTTAAATATGCCATAAATGTACATTATGCAAAAAAAAGTTAAAGTAATAAAGCCTGTAATTAAAAATTTATTCGAGCGCAATCGAGTGAATAACAAAATTTTTAAAATGGCAAATAAATCTATTTTTTTTTTTAAATTAAAAGACCCAATATTTTTATGGAATTTTTAACATAATTATTATCTTTTAATTATTTGACATTTATAAAAATCATTATAATAATATTTTATTATAGTCATATAAAATAATTAAATAAATTTAATTTAATTATAACTTTTCCAATTAATTTTTGAATACTTCATTTTTTGTTTTTTTTTTCTGTGAAATTTAGAATTATCTTTTAAATAAATATAATTTATTTTTTTCGTATTTTTATAATATTGATATTTTTTATGAAAATTGTTTGTTGTGATCATAAACAATATTATTTATTTTGAATAACTATATGTATGAATAATATTTAATTTAAAAATATGTAGATTGAATCAACAGTTTGGACACTATAATTTTTATAAATAAATAAAAATTAATAATTAATTTATTTGAAAAATTGTGTCAATAAGGATTTAGAATGAGAAAAAAATGTGCAATTTGAAAATTTTATGTTGAATATTGTTCGTCAAAATAAAAAAATATAAGAATATAATAGTAAAAATGCAGAAAACTGCAATTACAGTCCAACACCTTTAATTTAGACACGTATACAAATTGTCGTAACTCTTAAAATAGGGATTTGTTATTTAACTCCGCTAAGTAATGCATTTAAGAGCAATTTCACATTAAATAGCAATTGGTGAATTTTTAACGTTTGTATTCAGATTCGAAAGAAATTTTTTTTCAACAAACTCATAAAATTCTTACTTTAGTGGTCTTTGGGTTGTTAATGTTGTCTTGCTAACCAGTTATTGTTTTAAAGATTTCTTTTCAATGTGGATGCAATATTATATTGTAAATTAATTTGTAGAACTAATTTGCTGTCTAAATTTTGAAAATTGCATATTCAAAGAATTGCCTACTTTAAGTTTTATAAATAAACATTAAATGATATATTTTATTAAGAAATTTTAAATGTTATACGAATTATAATATCAAAATAATTATATAAGTACAAGTAAATATATATATATATTTATATATGTAAAATCAGAAACTAAGACATGCTCAAGCTCAAAAAAAAATTTAATAAATTATATATTTTGTTTTTTTTCTTCTTAACAATAAAAATATAATGTTATTTATATAAAGTATTTAATAAAATTTTTGTGATATAAAAAACAAACTAGCTAAAATACTTAATAATTATATTATATACTTGTTATAGGAAATTTAATTGAAAATAAATATTATAAAACAAATATATTTAATAAATTTGTTTTTTTTTTTTTGATTCATAAAAATATTTAAGTATATAAATATGAATATATAATATGTAATATATAAGCAGTCAAAGAAGAAACGTCTATATTATTTAGATATTATATATATATAAAAAAAAAAACTTTTTAACATACGGAAATATGAAAATGAAAAATTAAAAAATATTTATGTTTTGTATGTATGTGTCTATATAATATTTTATTTAATATGTAGGAATGATATATGTATAAATATTTAAATAAATAATTATTTATGTAATAATATGCAAATATCTACAAGAGAATTTATTCTTTTCTCAATGATTTTATTTTCAAAATTTTATTTTATTTATGTAAGAAATTGAAAAAAATTTGATGGTGGTTTTTCTTGTTTTTTTTTTTCTGAATTATTCAAATATGGTTTTGTCTAATTTTTTTTTTTTTTTCATTATTTATTTTATAATGCTCACTCAGTATGATTAGTAGACAAACAAGTATTGCAGCTAATGCTCCCATGCTTAATTTTAATGTTTGACCTTCTTGTATTAATTCACAATTTTCACCCCAGAAACCATCTGGGCATATGCAACGATAACGTAATTTTGGTTCCAAATTAACACATGTTGCACCATTTAAACATGGTAAATCAAGACATTCGTTACGATCTAAACAATTTTTAGCATCCGGTGACATTATTCTTCCTTCACCACAACTGCATATTTTTTAACATATATATATATATATATATATTTGATTTTATTTTTTAGAACAATGAGAGGTGAGAAAATCATTTTTTGAATTTTATGTTATACACGGATTTTGTTAAAATATTTTTATGTTTGAAATATAGAGAATAATAGAGATAATGGTTTTAAAAATAATTTTTTGTTTTTTTGTTAATTTAAATTTTATATTGTTTTTGTATACAAAGTATATTTTTTGAATGTGAATGATAAGAGAAATATTAATTATGATGAATTAGGAATTTTCTAATATGATTTTTATAAATTGCTGTGTATGATTTTTAAAATTTAAGAATACGAAAATTATATTAAGAATTATAGACTATAATTCTTAATATAATATAATTCCCTACTGAGGTTTTTTATTTTGCAAACATCAAATGAGTTTACGTGCATTACGGGGCCTTTAAAATTCTTGTATAAAAGTAAAAAATTTTTGTTATAATTATTATAGGTATAATGCTGAAAACTATTGCCAAAATTATTAGGAAAACAAAAATTTGGCTAAAAATCATTGATCCAATTGGTCTTCAAAATGGATTACGATTGATACCGTGGGGTATTTTTTTAACTAAAGTACATGTAAAATTTTAATTTAAATCTTCTATTTCAACCAGAAAAGTAGTGTGAAAATTTGTTTCATACGCTCAAATTAAATTTGGCCAATTTCGAAATTGTGATTGAAGTTATTGTTATGAATTTTTTTATTTAATTAATTTTTTTTCAAAAATATTGAATATTTAATGAAGTATGCAATTTTACATATATTTCCAATTATGATGTCTAATCTGTTATATGTATTCTTAGTTATATTTTCAATAGAATTTTTAAGACAAAATTATAATATACAATTCTCATGATTATGGTGGCGAATTTCTATTAAAATTTGAGTACTTTTGGCTACAATACACTGAATATATTTCACCAATTAACCTTTCTAATACAGAACGTAATTTGATTATGTATATTATAAAAATTATTTAAAATTTAATTTATTAACATATATAAAAAATAAATTTCACGCATAAACAATTATGACTTGTTGCCAGAGTTAATTAAATTTCTAATTAGAATCACAAAACAAATTTTTTATTCAAACATAGACTTTTTAATAAACTTTTTTATAAAAATGTGAAAATATTTTCTATCCTTTTCTTTTTTTGGAAAATAAACCTTTTCAATTAATTTTTCTATATTTAGTAAAATAGGAACCAAATATATAAAAAATGAAGGACTGTGCAACCATACCTGTTATGTTATACCTAACCTATATATATATATATATTCCGAATATAATTATACTAAAATATTAAGAGAGAGAATTGAATTTATTATCCTGAATTTTTTTTTGAGAAAATAATTTCATTTTAATTTTCCATTAATTTTCTGTTAATTTTAATTAAAAATGTTAAAAATTCGTTCTCAATTAAAATATTCAGAATTAATTAAAATTTTTAGTTAGCAAAAAAATTATCGTATTTTATAAAATAATGAAAAATAACTTCATTTGCCTCAAATATTTTTAATTTTTTTTTTGATTTAATAGTTATATGTTATAAAATTGTTAAAAATAAAATTATATTTTGAAACCACAAATTGTTAAATACTTTCTGTACAAATCTATATGCTAAAAGAGTAAATGCGTAACCATTTTTTTATTATTTCAATAGACTTCTCTTCATCACTATTATATTGACGCCATAAATTAAGTCATTTAAGAAAAAAAAATAATAAAAACATAAAAACATAAAAAGAATAAATCGGCATAATTTATTATTTTATATTTTTTACTTTTTATTATGTATGTATATGTACGTGTAGAGAAAAATATAAATGAAAAACGGATAACCGTGAAATAAAAGTTAAATTTAATTTATGTGTAATTTAATTTTTTTTTTTTTTTCAATTTCATTTTAAAAGAAAAAGTGTCGCCAACAATTATTAATTTATAGAATTGTCGCCATCCAAATTATTTTATATTTATGTATATAAATCGCGTGTATATATGTATATTTGGATATTGTGTAGGAAGTATTTTTTTTTGGTATATTATCATTAAATATTTTAAATAATATATTTGCAAAATTAAAACAAAACAAACAAAAAGGATATACATTTTTTAAGGAGAGGATTTTATGCTGCCTCAAACTCTTATAAATTAAATTTATTGTAAACATAATAAATAATATTATATACGTAAGTATATACTCGTATATACATATATATAGTTTTGTTTAAATATCTGACTCATTCTTATATATATGGTTTTGAATATAATATGAATTTCCTTATTTGATGAGGTATAACAAATTATATGGGTTATAAATTCAAATACTAATGGAGGAAGCCATATTAGGTTTGTATTATAATGTATTATAATATTAATTAGTTATACTATTTAAAAAAGAATTTAAAACAAATTTACAAAATCAGAATGGAAATTTAGAAAATCTGAAAATGAATGTTTGTGCAGTCTTAGAAAAATTTTTGTTTCTTACTTGATTTAGAAAGAATAAAATATTTTTAGTTTTCCTTCTTCATAATTATGACATGATAATTATTTTTAAATTAATTAAAAATTAAATTAAATATTATATAAAAGCCTTAATTTTCACATTGAAAATTACTGAACTTAGGCTCAATAAGAGCATCTAGATATGTAGATAAACGGCAAATATACTATTGAAAAGTTTAGTTACGTACATTATATTAAGACTTTAATTTTAATTTACTGAAAAGAATTGTTAACAATTTATATACAACGCATTAATTGAAAATTTAAAATATTAAAATATTCATATTTAAAAATTCATTTGTTGCATTCTATAGAATTAGATTTAGACAACAGGCGCGCCTAATCTATTAATTATATCTGTTATCGTATTTTATATAAAATGATTTTTTGTATCTATATGCAATTGAATAAAAAAAAAATCTCTCTATACAATTCTATTCAAATAAATGTAAGTACATTTTAAAAAGGCAAGCATGACCGAACTCAACAAATCGCCAAAAATAACAAAAAAAAAATTTTTTTTTTTTGAAGTATTTTTATTTTTATGGAAGTTTAAAAATTTTGATTTATGATCAAAATATTACTAAAATAGAGATAATAAAATAAAATATGAATAAATTCTATAAATGTCAGCTAAATTTAAATTCATTGAAAATTCATATTTTCTTATATACATCCATATACAAATGTATATATATACATGAAATAAAATTTTGTATACAATAAAAATTGATTTTTAATTAAAAATGGAACCTTCAAAATAAAAATATTCTAAATTTAATGAATTCATATTTATTGTATAGTTTTTAAAAACTTTGTAAATATACACTCAGCCATGTACATATATTTATATTTACGCGTATATGTATGATAAAAATAATATTGTTCCATTTAAATTGCATATTTTATGGAGTTATCATAATAAATAAATCCAAAATTTTTTCTGTGTAGATTTGATGAGAATGGAAAACAGTTTCTATAATTAAGTTAAGATATAAGATTTTTTATTTATAAATTTAATATTAAATTTTTAAAATTCATTAAAAATTTTTATATAATAGCAATGTGATTGACATTAAACCACTATTTAAAATAATATTGTAGAAATTTTTTTTATTTCAATTTAAATTTTTATAAATTATATAAGGAAATTCTTGTTATACTCCAGCTTGTGAACCGGATAAAAATTAAAAATTGATAAAATTTTCAACATTTTTATGAATTTCACATTTTTATCAACTGAAAAATATTTATTTTGAACTTTTCAATAAACACATACATATACATATTTTAATTTTCAGATTTTAGAATTTTATTTTTTTGGCGAATTCCTTCTCTAATAAAAGGAAGAAAATTTTTTTGAAATGCACATGCTACACGTCTTTATTGTTTATATTGAAATTTGTATATGTATGTGATAGAATTTGTAAAATTAAATTTAAAATGTAAATATTATTTTTCATAGTAATTCAAAATTATACTACTGTAATCAATTTAGGCTTCTGGAAAATTAATTTTGATTAGAAATGAAATTGAAATTCAATAGAAAAATTTTTCATTGTTGAAATTACGTTGAAATTCAATATGAAATTATCAATAACTTTTTAAAAATTCCATTAATCAATATTGTATTTATGTTTATTTAAATATTTTTTGAAGGAAGTTAATTAGCTTATTATGAATTATTATAGTATGGAATTAATTGAATGTTGGAATTTCAGTGATTGAAAAAAGTAAAATTTTAATCAAATAGAATTTAAAGAGAATTTTAAATTAAAACCTGTTTTCACCTCCTACTGTATATTTTCGGCTGGAATTCGATATTATTTTCATTATTGGCTTAATTATGAATTACATTTTTTTTGCGACAATTGAAAAAAAAACCACCTATATAGTAGTAGAGTTAACTTCAAAACTAAATATTGTTTAAATTTTAATTTTTTAATTATTTTACGGGAAATATGGCAAACTTATCTAAAAAAAAATTTAAATTTACAATTATAATTTTTTATTTTATTCTATTCCTGTTAAAAAATTACCCGCAATTTAAATTAAAAATGAAGAGAAAATTTTTTTTATTTTGACTAAAAGAAATATATTTCTTAAAAGACATAAAGGAGAAGAAAAAATTGGGAAATTTTAAATATCCAATTATTTTTCTTTATTTCCATCTTGTCTCATATAATAAGAGATCAATCAATTACTGTTCTCTTGATGAGTGAAAATTGATTCAAAGTAAAATTTAAGACAAAAGAACTTTCATATAATGAAGAAAACCTCCATTGTGAGCAATATAAAATTCGAAACTGATAACATTACACGAATGCTTAAATTTGGAAAATTTTAAATTAAAACAAAAATTAATAAATTAAATTTTATGCTATTTTGAAATTTCCATTTTAATATGAAACTTCTCATATTGCACATTCCAATTCAAGAACTTGAATATTCCTGTTCTAGCACTTTTTTCGACATAAAACCAACGTAAATGTATATAAGATAGTAAATATTGATCAACTGTTTTGGTTTATTAAATTGTCAAACTTGAAAATGTAAATATAAGAGAAATGTTGAAAAGTTCAGTGTTGTGGAGTAGAATAAAATAATTTATACAAAATATTTTTTAATTTGAGTATTTTTATAAAATTTTTAATTGATTTATTTGTAATTTTTACAAAACTATTGAATTTTTATATAAAATAAACATTGATTTGATATTCTACAATCTATATAGAATAAATTTTATTATTGAATTAGTTTGGTTTTCATACACAAAATATAATATGTACATAGGATTATTTTTACTAATTTAATTATTCGCAAAAAAAAAACAAAATCCATAAAATAAAATTAAAATATTTCGAATTAAATTAAAGAATTTTTTTAAAATGTATTTGCGTACAGAGTGAGAAAGAAGTAAAATACAAGAAATGTCATAGAACGTAATAAAATATGAGAGACATGGAGAATTTAAAGTACGAGTTTCTCTCACAGTGATTAACAATATAAGATAAACCCTTAGATTTGCTGAGTTAAATGTAAAACTGAAAAGAAATGAAAATGGCAACAAGTAAATGAATTTCTCTCTGCTTATTAGCTTATTTGGAGAGAAAATTTGAATGTTAGCTTCCCTATATTATGTTTTTTCCACATTTTAATTAATTTACTTAAACCAAATATTAAAATAAATCTGCAATAAAATTTGAAAATGGAAATTCTTATAAAATCCTTATAAATAAATAAAGGATAATAGAAATATCATTCAAATTATTTTTGTACACCATATGTTTTTTAAATTTGTTTAAAACTTTTTTTTTCGTATATATTAAAAAATATTTTTATGAAAATAAACATAATATAATTTTATTATTTCTTTATTTTTCGTATTTAAATTAATTTTGAAAAATAAAATTTTTAAGAAATTGAACAACAAAATATTTAATTTTTTATACATATAGCAGAATTTATACAATATTATTGTTTGTGTTATACATACTGTTGGTAAAATATATATGTACAATAATATTAAATTAAGAATTTTTTCATATCTTTTTAAAAAAAGTTAAATTTATTTGAAATACTTGAATAATATTTTGTTACAATTTACAATAATTTGCTTGAATAATATTCGTACAATTATGTATTACTGTTATAAAAATTATTCAATAAAAATATAACAAAATTCGTTCAAATAAAAAAATAAAAGTTTGCATAGTAAAAAAAAATAGTGAAAATAGAGATTTATCAATCAACAATAATAATGTAAGGGTATTCTTTATTAGTTGATACATTTGTAAAAATAATTGAAAGAAAGAAAGCCACTTGAGATCCCAATCGGTCACCGTTATAAATGTTAGAAATGAAAAATTTTAATTATACCAATTCATATACATAGCATATTTTGACAATTTTCGGAATATTTATGAATATTATTATAATATATCTTCGATTTATAATAATTAACAGAGCAATGAGTTGAATTATGAAATTTTCACTTTAGAGACACTTCTTCAAAGCTCCTCACTTACAATATATCCGAATTCCATCATGCGTTAATTGTATATGCTGTTCGGATTTAAATTAGGAATAATTTGACTAACAGAACTAAAATTCAATTTCAAAAATTTTTTATTCTTTTGTATCAACAGGAATATCTTATAATATATAGGATTGAAATAGAGATTACTATACATATTTATTTTCCTTTTGATATTCTTAGTTAAATGAAGACACATATTGTGTTACGGACAATTTCTCAATACTTTGCTTTTTGTTTTTTAATACAAAATTCAAAATTTTAGTTATAGCAAAAATATGCAAATTTATTCAATTTTTTTTTTTTAACTTTTGATAAAAATTTAGAGCTTAAACTGTGTGAAATTTTTGTCCTACTTGTATATTTTATGAACACATAGAAATGTTCTGTTTTGAAAAGGGAAACGAAACAAATTCGAAAAACTTAAAAAAAAAAAATTTAATACTGCCATTTTATAAATTTGTTTTTGAAATTTTATTCTAAAAATATTTGCGTTGTAATTGAAAATTTCGTTTTCAAAATGTTGTAATTTTTTCTTTTTTTTTTGGTAAACTTTATTAAAATAATTTTTATTAATTTTCTAATCGGATTTAACAGAATTTTGTAATCGGATTTTTTTTTTATTTAGTCATAATAAATAACAATAATTTTTGAGTTTGAGTTTCAGAAAAACAATATGTTTCGTTCTCACAATGTTTTTCTGAACGGTTGTGTGTGCTGAAATACACTGAATTTTAATAAAAAATAAAAAATTTTTGTTTTTAAAGTTGTCACAGGGTTAAATGACACCAATTGTATGGGATTAAATTATTACATTAATATTTTGGATTTAGATTACCAAGTATTCAATTTAAAATTTAAAGCATTGCCTAAAAAATATGGTCTCAATTTTGTTTCAGTTTCTTTCAAGTACTTGCGTTTTTATATTTCCGCTTCCAAGTGCTAAGAATACTATACTGCTAAATTTGTCGTAGTTAATTTGCCCTATACTGTAATCTAACATTTATTGGATTTTTAAGAGAGTCTAATAGAATAACATTTACTCATTTTAAAAATATTGACTAAAAATAAATTTGTGGTTCCATAAGAAAATTTACTTAAATTAACATTGTAAAAATTTTTGTCTAACCCTACTTAAAATTTTATTACATAATATACTGACGTAATTTATAGACGTTTCGTTTATAATTTATATATAGTTATAATTTGTATATGTATCCTAACTTATATGTATATATGAAGAATTCCTCAATATTAGGTCTATGTTATTGGAAATGTGATATGTATATATAAAAATTTAAAACATAAAACTCTTGTACTTACGTGCATTCGTATTCATTCCATAAATCAACACATTCAAACGGTTCTGGACATATCACATTCGAGCATGGTTTATTTGATGGACAATTCTTTTCTAAATTTCTAGCCATTGTTGCTTGTCCCCATTGTGTACCATTCATTGCAGGTGGTAATGGTAAATGTTTTCCTTCAAGTCTTTTAATTAACAAATTATAGATTTTAGTATAAAAACCAAACAAAAATATATATTCAATAAAAACTATACCTTATATCATCTAAACAACTTTTCTGATAATCAGCATATACTTCAAATGTCCTAACACCAGTATATTCAGCTTTACCGCCAGCATAAACACCTTCTTGTTTATCAACTAATAACCATTGATGTCCTTCAAATTCAAATGTTTCATTATAACGTCTGCCTTCACCACCATCTAATTCTAGTGTTGCCGCTGAACCATAACGATTTATTCTAACTACATGCCATTGACCATCATCAACTGTTATAGCATTTAACCATAAATCTTTTTCTTCTGTTCTCAATGAATTCAAATTGTAACGGAAATGCAATCTAGCTTCTTTAATTTCTAATATTCCATATTCACGATTATGCTGATCACTAACTCTAAATAATTCACCATGTTGTTCACGTGTTCTAAATCTTAATTGAATTTGTGTACTATAACGATCTGGTTCAAAACTTAAAGCATATTTAACATAACTTTGTTGTTTAAATGTTGTTGGTATAGTTGGTATATTACATGATGGACCAGTCCAACCGGGACGGCATTGACATCTTGCTTCACTAAAACTACCCACACAATTACCATGTTCCCAACATCTAGCAGTTTGTTCTGATTGTGCGCATACTTCTTCAGTTTGTGGACAACCGGCAACACTATTACGCGATAATCCTGGATGCGCTAAATCATATAATTTACTATTATGTACAAGATTTCGTATACAACCATCAAAATATTTTGATGTTGGTGCATAATGCCAAAAGTATAATGATTGATCAAATTGTTCTCTATAAAGTCCGCCAATTTGTAATGGTGCATTAACATTCAGGTACTCATTAAATGGAGGAATTTGTCCGCGTGCTTGACATGTACCATCATCAAATTCTGGTGGCGTACCATCTTCTTGTTCTGATACTTCAGCTGATTTACAATAATCAACAACCATACGAACATTTTCTGTATCCCAGAACAAATCAATTCGATGCCATTCACCATCATCTAATGTCTTTTTAGTTTTAATACGTAACTCTAATGTACCAGAACCGAAATCAATTAATAAACGCGGATATCCTCTTTCAACTTCTAATGATATGAAATCAGATATAAGCATTTCATCACGTTCAGGTGGAACAATTGGACCATTATATAAAATTAATCCATCGGGTTTTCTAGTTGCAAATTCTAAACTTAAATGTGAATTATCACACATTTCTAATGGGGGATACCATGCCCATCCATTACCACGGAAACTTCTTGTTGTTTGTTGACATCTTGGTCCAGTATAACCGGTTGGACATGAACAATGTGGGCCATAACGTGTTTCTATACATCTGCCGCCATTATAACATGGTGTATTCCTACATGATTCACCTTTTGAAAAATTCCTTGCACCACATGTACAATCAGCTAATGTATCAACTCTTACACCAACTAATGCTGTTTTATTTGCATTTACCATATATGGTAATGAACTAATATCCAAAATATTTGTACATGAACCTTCACATTGTTGATTTTCATATAAACATTCATCAATACCAACCATTGTTATATTAATACCAACATCCTTTTCAATTTCTTCTCGATGCATTAATACAATTCCATTTAATCTAACTGGTTTATAGTATGGTGAACCATGTGCTGAGAAACGTATATCAGTTAAGGGTGGATGCTTACGTTTTAATTGTACACTAAATATATCTACATTTTCTCTATCTGTATTTAATAAATCAGCTAATTTATCACGGAATCTATCCAATTTACTACGGGATAAACTTTGTGTTCTATAATTCCATACACGTATAAAATCTTCATCACTAATACCAGATATTCTTATTGAGCCAGAATTAATAACAGCATCATGGGGTATTTCTCTTACAGTTATTGTCACATTTGCTGGTACATCAGTTTGTGTATGCTTACGATCGTATACTTTAAAACGTAAATTATATCTACCTTCACGTGTACCAGCTTTCATTGTTATCATACCAGAATCTTCATCTAATTTAAATCTAGGATGTTCTTGTTGTTCCCAATAGAATTTTTTATCAGGTAAATCCCAATCATCTAAATCATATACATATACACGTCCGATTTGTGTATCTGGTGATTGACCTTGATAATTATATACGAATACTTCTTTGGAACCCGGTTGCATTTTATTGTCATTGACATCACCAATAACTACAGTTAATGTACTTGTACCAGTCATTGCTGGACTACCATGATCTTTAATTACAATTGGTATTAAATATTCTTTTTGTTGTTCTCTATCGAATGAACGTAATGATGAAACAATTGCCATACCATCACCATTTGCACCCTCTGTAAAATAATAAAAATTAAATATTTTTTTTTTATAAATAAAAATTAACTTTATGCTCATAGATTGAAAACTATAAGAGTATATGAATAGTTGTTTATATAAGAATCAATTTATTGAAATTGTTTAGAATCCATAAAAAGTATATATTGTATAGTATATATATTATATATGTAGGCATATATATTGAGTTATTCAAAAATGGAATAAAATATTTGCTAAAACCACGAAAACTGAAACTTTTATTACAAAATTCTGTAACATTTCAATTGGAAATATAAAACAATTGTAGAAAAGTTTTTCAATTATTGAATCTATATATATATCTTTATTATATAATCGCGTACATATACATATATACAATTATGTAGAATGGTAATCGATTTTCTTGCAAAAACATATTTGCTAACCATAAAATTGAAGTAAAATGCATTCAATATTTAAAGCTTGTAAGATTCGAGTGTACTTTAAGAGAAGCATAGAACAAAGATGAAATATGGGTCACGCAAATATTTTATGTAATACCATTATATAAATGTATATATGTATTTATATTTTATATAATATAAAAATTGTTTAACCCTCACGAGTTGCTTGCAAATGGTACAATATTGTTTGAATGCATATTGAAAATTGTACATAATTGCAAGGTTAAGACTAAGAGTTTACAAATTGTTGACTTCAATTTTACTTTTTTACTTAGCTATATATAAAGCCTCTATAAGCGTACTAATAACCATTAGTAGGTAAAAGTAATATAAGAATTTAAAGAAAATTTTTTTAATAAATTAAGAAAACGTTTTGTTTTTTGCAATGAAAATTTTCTTCGTTTTCCAGGAAAATTCAATATTGCACATCATGATTGTAAAAGTGTTAAAAAAACATCTGGCAAAATGAGGTCTAATGAATAATGATCTTGAAATACAAAAACAAATATGCAAATTTTGCATTTTAATAGTGAAGTGGATGGGAAATGTAATGTTAATGTACTGAAAGAATGTTAATGACTTTGATTCCAATAAAGACATAACAAGCTAGGTATGGCATGTTTAACTATTACTTGTATTTTATTTTTGTTTCATGATTTTATAAAAGAAGAAATAATTTTAATTCGAAGATGTGAGTAGGAATAAATTTTTAAGTTATACGCACTTTTCCCTTTTACAATGTTACGTAATTATACGTGACTGTTCACTTCTACCTTATATTTTAATTTGATTTCGTATAAAAGATTGGAATGTTGAAAAATCTGAATCGGCTTGTAAAAGAGATTTTTTCCTACGGTACAATAATTTTAGATGGACAACAATGTGCTCTTTTAGAAATGTTATTGTCATATTCCCCGGAAGATCGAATTTTGTTTATCGGAAATTTTTGGCAAACCCTGACCCCTAATAAAAAACTCTTAATTGAGTTTGAGTTTTTGGAAACTAAAAGATGTTTGATCCCAATATGAAATACAAATACGCAACATGAAACTTGCAATTTTTTTTATGAGAAAACTCTAGTATTTTAACAAAATTTTAAAATTTAAAAAATTTAATATGAAATTTATTTCATAACGCTACATAAAGTTTTCGGATAAAAATTTTCTTGTTTTGAAATTTTAAAAAATTTTGATATTCCGGAAGAAAAATGTCTAATCGTGCAAAATTTATATAGGAATTAAATGAAAATTTATGAGAAAATTTACATACATTGATTTTCCTCCAAAAAAAAGAAGAAAAAAAAGAAATTCGTAAAATTTTATTTATTGAATCTATTGATTTAGATGGCACAGAATAACTTTTATGCATTACAGAAAAAAATTTATGCGTACATTATTCTTTACTTGCAGTAAAAAAAAACCCATGTCGAACTAATGAATGGATGAACCTAAATAATAGGTACTAAAGTATACTAAAATTTGGTTGGTTTTACTTTGCGTCCAATCGTTGTATACGTAACTATGGCTATTCAAATAAATTTAAGATATAGAACGATTTAAAGTTCATTCCATAAACTATATATTTTAGATATCGAATTGGAACAAAACTAATAAAAATGGAAAATCTCTCGGAAATAATTTATCTTAGTTAAAGGTTGTATATGGAAGTTGAAAAAACGAAAAAAAAAATGTTTTACGCTGTTAACATTAAAATTTAATTTCCGAGTGTATGTGTAATATAAGCGTCGACGAGGGTGTTCTTTTTTTACTAGATTTTGGTTTTAAAAACTATGCATATTTTTGTAAGAAAGTGCATGTTATGCAATAGAAATCATAAATTTGATTGCAATTTAGTATTAATGTAAAACACGCTAAAGAGTTTAATCCTTAATATACGAATATGAGAAAAATTTAGAATGTGTGAATGTATACACCAAAATGCTGGCTGTTCTAATAAGCCTGATGAATATTAAATAAAGATGGAATTGAATTCATCAAGAATTTTCAAATGAAATAGAATATTAATGATTGACATGCGTGCAGCCAAGCTCTATAAATTTCCCAAAACTAATGCTTGCCTTAACTTAATATTTAATTCGATTTTTTTTCCTTTATTTTGTATCCAATTGGTTCCAATTCTTTAAAAGAATCTCGCGAGATGATAAGTGCCTTAGCTAATCATAATAGAATGGCCAAATATTTTTATATGATTTCAATAAAATTCATAAAATTTTTTATTTATTTTTAGTATATTTTCTATTGGAATCCTTATAAGTTAATCAAATCAATTTTTAAATAAAAAAAAAAACATTTCTAAAATTAGAATAATCTAGTGTGCGTATTTTACTCTTTTTTTCCAAATAACATTTATTTTCTTTTTAAAATTTCTGAAGATGAAGATATTATCGTATATTATCGTATATAGCAACAAAAATAATCTATATGAATGAATAATGTCAAAGTTTATAAATATTATACGCACAAACGTACCTATAAAATAAAGAAGAAAAAAGAGGAGAAAATTCTACAAAAAAAAATATGAAAAAAAAAGAAAAGAAAATTATGATATTAAAAGGATAACCTAAGAAAAATATTATAATATTGTGCGTATAAACAAGTATATATATGTATATACCTTTTGTCTATGTATATACAAGGATAATGATTTCTAAATATTTGATTTGAAAGAATGATGAGAGAGAAAAAAAAAATCAAATATTTGATGTCATTATAATTCTATTTATACGTGCTTCTCATAATAAAGTATTCATTGAATAAATATACAATTTATTTATCGTATTTTTTTTTTTTAAGTTATGGTCAACGATCTAAAAATATTAAGTATATTGGGTTTACATAAATTTGCTATCAGAAATTGTAAATTTTTTTTTTTTGTATTTTTTTTTTTTTTTATTAAAATAATATTTTGAATTTATTTAAGATTTACTAGAATTCTTTATTTATTTACTTTTTTATATAATTTTACATTATTGTAAATTGTGATGTCTGTATGCGATAAACGAAGTAACATCATGCTCTTAAATTTGAGTATTGAAATATTTAAACAATCTATTGCAATTCCTACACAACTATAAAATAGCAATTATTCTGCATTTCGCCACGTCGACGAAGTTGTTCTCTATTTGAAAAAAAAAATACCAAAAATACTTATATCGTAAATTGATTTCGATATTTTATAGTAACATACCATATTTGTCCGGTTTTTCCAGTACGAATTTTGAGAGAATAAGAGGATTAAAGTGAACAATTTTGTCTCAGATACTTTTTTTTAAATCATTTATCATTAACTCTCAATTATTCATTTATGATTATGAATTATCATCAATAAATAAGCATAAAAGTAAATGTTACAAAGAAAATATTACACTCTTCTGTTACTCTCTTGCTCTCTGTGTCATTAATAGTAATTATTTCAAATTTTCTTTCTATCTGTATAGGATTCTAAAAGGGTTTACAAAATTAAGTATTACACATGAAAACTTTATGTAAATTTCATAATATTTTGTTAGGGTCGATGGATTTAGTTTGATAAAAAAAAATTTGAAAAAAAGTCATACAATGTTCTCCAAATAACCGGGCCATGAAATGTGAATTAAAATATTTCTTTTTTTCTTTTATTTTCTCAATCAAAAATTTCATAAGAAGCAAGGCTTAGATCCAAAAAAAAAAATCAAATGTGCGGGTCCATTAAAATTTGTTCGATAGGATAATTACGAATTCCTATTACTGCACTTCAGTTCTGGTTCTTAACAAATCAACGGAATTTTTTATATAAGCATGAGAATTTTTTTTATGAACACGAATCGAACAAAAAAAAAAAAATTTTTTTTATTTCAGTATATAAACTGTACTTTTTTCTCTCTCTATAGATTAACAAATATGAATTAAAATATTCTCTTTAAAAGGGAAAAAGATCCTTTTTTAAATTTTTTTTTTCTTTTTTATTTTATTTACATTATCAATATTTAACCGGTACTTCCTTATATAAATTGGTTTTCCGCGAAATTATCAAATAAAATTTTTAAAACCTTATAATTAGGTTTTAACCGTAATACTTGTATATAAACCGTAATAATACTTGTACATAGTAAAGTACATTTATATAAGGAAGATTATTAAATATAAGTATGTGCGTTTTTTATGAAATATATTAAAGTATTGGATGTTGTTATTAAATAAAATAAAAAAAAAATGATAAAATAAATTTTGAAAATAAATTTTTAATCTCAGTAGAAGAAATTTACCACATGGGGAATTTCAATATTTTTCTTTAAAATATTAAAAAAATTTTTTTTGGATGGGCATTTTGGTTTTCCGCAAAAATTTTTTTGATTTTGATATTATTATATTTTTATAAAATGAATGAGATTTGGGTAATCATGAAAATAAATCAAAACGTCAAATCATGGAACAGATTTAATAAGTTTGAGGTGAATATAATTAAATATTATAAAAAAGGAATAAAATAGAGAAAGCATGTTTTAGAAATGCATTTGCATTGTGTTTGAATGAAATTTAATTAAGAATAACAATAAAATTATGAGTAAAATTTTT